TTTGAAGTAACTTTAGCTGCTGAATCCGAAAATGGCCTTGATTTTAAATATTATGCACCGTTTTCCCAAAAAAATTGAATCAAAATTGAATTTCCCCACAAAAAACTCCATTTTTTTTAGAAACCCCATTTTGTGGGAAGATAATGGGTCAATGCAAAAAAACTAAGGTCAATTTTGAACTCAGCAATACAAATTACATAGAAGCTTGTCAACTATCTAGTCTACCATAAAGTCCACCGTGTTCCACCATTTTTTTCATTTTTGGAGACCTGTGTTTTTCTATGATCAGTGACTTTTAAGTGCCTTCTATTCCTAAAATATGTAACTTACTGAGCTAGTATGGGCGCTTATTAATGCTTTAGTGTCTAAACTACAAGAATACTATATGGTAGAACGGTCAAATCTGTCCACCACCCCCCTCCCCCAAGGGTGAGACTTACTTGTTTAAATCAAATCAAATGTTGCACGGTCTTAAAATGGTTCCATATGCTAAAAAAACGCCAAAAGGATTTGGAAAAAAAAAATTTAACGCGGCCCGCACAGCACCTACAGATCGTTATTTTTCCGATATTTTTGGCATTTTTACCGTCTTTTTTTTATAGTTTAGTTAGTGTCAAAGATTTGACGCTAAATGTTAACGCCAAACATGGAGATGGATTAATGGAGGTGTTGCATGTGTGAGGAATTCGCGATTTGACTATTGATTCTTATGTAAAAGTCCGTGAGAAACACGATGGTCCCACTGATTTTCTCTGAAATCAACTCCCAAGCTCCAAAAACGGTCTCAAAGTTGAGGTTGTAATGATCCTGAGAGTCCACGTCCACGTAAAGACAAACTCTCCATGCAAATATAGGGAACAAATATATTAGCAGGGTAACTGAAAGCACGGCAACCCTAAGGGTTGCCGTGCTTTCGTTGCTGCTCGTGCTTTTAGAGTCCCCAAGTAAAGTGGCAGCCCTGACAATGTATTTGCTCCCTATCTTTGCATGGAGAGTTTGTCTTTACGTAGAGGTGGACTCTCAGGATAGCGTGGGATATTTATTCTGGATAATGCTGTGATTTCCTTTTTTATTCAAACTTTTGGTGAAATTCTCAGTCAGATCATTATCATTTAAGTGTTTTTTAATGAGTATTTTTGAAAACAAGCAATGAAAGAGAAATTGTATTATTCTTCTTAAATTACCGAAAACTTGGGAGAAAAATTGGAATGGTGAAATTAGACCTCTTAAGTAGAAACAGTAATAGCTCATGCCTCTATGCTCATAATTTCAATGTGACTAACTTCATGCCCTAGTATTCTATGCTGAACTTTTATTGAAAAACCTGAAAAATTTGGATAGGGTCTTCTACTACATGAATTCGTTGCTTATTTTGATCAAAACTAGCACTGAGCTTAATGCCAAAGCCTGAAATTCACTCCTGCTTGACTGACAAAACTTGTGTAACAATTACCACGATTTGAGTTTCCTACGAGCATTCCCTTCTCGGAGAGGGGTTCAGAAAAGTTTGGCAAAGCAGCACAAGTTTACGCTATTTTCAGGTTCAAAGTTTATTAATCGTACTGAGTAAAAATTGTAAAATTGAACGTATTGAAGTGACCGACAGACTTCTAAAATTTAAGAAAACATAAAAAATTAAAGCCTTTATAAGCATCCAAGCACCATTATTTCCATGAGAACCGCGTCAGTGCTGCGGTTTACACGAGCTTAAGACGTGGGTCCAAAAATCCATCCTAAAAAATAATCAGACAAGAACCTGAAAAAATAAGAAATAACGAGTATCAACACAGCCGACGACAAGGAAGACGTATTCGGGCCTCTTTTTTAACTTTTCTCCCGAATCGGAGCGACACCTCATTGGCAGCATACAGCAGAGCATTGAGAACTCACGCTTCGCGTCATCGCGCCTTCAATTTTTCAGATGCAGCACGGACGTCCATCAAGGACGAATAGTTGTATCTCTGCGCCGTCGTAAACGCGCATCCTTTCCCTCCCTCCCTATCCATATTGTGTTTGTTTCCGTTTGTCTCATTCGTAATGGTGCTTCAAGCACTACGTGAATATAACACAGCCGAAGGTAGGAGAGATGTGTTCGGGCCACTTTTTAAACTTCCCTTCCGAATCTGAGCGACACTTCATCGGCAGAATATAGCACAGCATTGAGATCACGCTTCGCGTCATCGCGCCTTCAATTTTTCAGACGCAGCACGGACGTCCTTCAAGCACGAATAGTTGTATCTCTGCGCCGTCGTAAACGCGCACCCTTTCCCTCCCTCCACTTCCATATTGTGTTTGTTTCCGTTTGTCTCATTCGTAATGGTGCTGCAAGCACTACGTGAATAACACAGCCGAAGGTAGGAGAGATGTGTTCGGGCCTCTTTTTTAACTTATCTCCCGAATCTGAGCGACACCTCATTGGCAGCATATAGCACAGCATTGAGAACTCACGCTTCGCGTCATCGTACGTGCTTTCAATTTTTCAGACGCAGCACGGACGTCCTTCAAGCACGAATAGTTGTATCTCTGCGCCGTCGTTAACGCGCATCCTTTTTCTCCCTCTATTTCCATGTTGTGTTTGTTTCCGTTTGTCTTATTTGTAATGTTGCTTAAACTAGAGCGGGGCATTGCGAGTTCACGACTCACGCCATTGCGTCTTACATTTTTCATGTGCAATCCATCTTGCGAGAATAGTTGTATTGTTTTTAATTGCCAAATCTTCATTATTTTTTTAAACAGTCAGTTAATCGTGTCAGATATTTAAGTCAAATAAGCTGTAGGGTACCAACCCCTGTGAAGTTCCTTCCTTTTGGGTGCTTCAAATGCTAATCAAGGTCATCTTAGCTCTTTCGGCAAGAGATATGCCACCCTCCTCTCAACATTCTCAGTATTACTTGGTTTTACAACATCTCGATTTTATTGTTGAATATTTGGCGTTTGGCCCACCGTTGACCCTGAAAAAAATAATTTTTTCTAGCTTTCTCATTATTTCCTCCTGGCTCCTAACAATTGGCGAGATGCTTTCTACCAAAGTTAACTAATATTGAGGATTTAGATTTCTTCAATACGTCTTCAAGGACAGGCGTGTCAAATATAGCGTAGAAGATTTTATTTATTTTTATTGAATTGTTTTACAATTAGGTCAAATGAAATAAAGAAATCTCATAAGGAGCCAGACTATAGCTTTGAAAGGCTTTGGGCTTCAACTTTTTTATTTTGTTGGTATTGATGTATTTTTGTTATACTTTGTTTCTACATTTCTGTTGACCTATGATTTTTTTTAAATGCTGTTTCATTTCTACTCCTCTACTGATGATATAAATTATTTTAATTTCAAAGATACAAAACTTACATCTTTATTTAGGAGTTTTCTTCTTCCTGATTAATTTATTCTTTGAATTGATCACATTATTGGAAGGAACTCATTGCTTGAGACAGAAAATACATTTAATTTAAATTTAATAAAAATCTTCAATAGCATTATTTAGTACTATTCACGAAAGCTTTCGTAAGAGCAAAATATTTCATCCACAAACGACTGAAGCATTATTTACAGTTTCTTTATCTTATCAAGTTATGCCTTTATATCAAATATTTCTTTTTTTGGGGGGGGGGACGAGTATTAAATAAAAGGAAAGAAAATACTATGAAGATTAAACACGATTGAAACATGATTAATATTTTTTTTAATTTCGTATCATAATCAAGACAATACCTGATAAAAGGAAGTGATCCATAACAAACGACTTGTGTTACACAAGTTTTGAATATTTTGACTTTTTAAAAAGAAAGTAATATTAAAAAGAAACAAAAAATCGAAGTAATTTTCAATTAGCTCAAACACAAAGGCTGGTTGCCCCCCCCTCCCCCCCTGCTTGCATGGCGCCTTACACTGGCGCCTAGATATCAGCAGGGCCAGGGCGCCAAGAGCGATGGATCTTCTGTCCTCTTCGAAATGAAATTAAACTAACCGACTGTTGACCCAGTGAGACAAGTCTTGTCTTCCGTATCAGTAAAAGTGGGCGACGGATTCGATCAGATATGACGTGTGATCGTATATTCCGGATAATCGCAATTTGATGCATGCTGCAATGAGGGGAAACGAAGATGTGAGAGATACGGTCGGAGAAGATGCGATATCAATGAGGGGAAAGGCTTTCTTCTCTAACATGACTTCGAGCCCGGGTAATCTCCTGTGGTCAACTGAGTCATGTACGGCGGGTTACGGAAAACTATTTTTCGCAGGAATAACGATCCCGCTTGTACATATATACCTTTTTGTTGGCCGGAGCGCTTCGAATATTTGCAGAACTTTAAATCTCAATCTATATGTACAAATGTAAATCCCTCCTGTGCTCGTCACCTGCATACATCAATGACACGTGAGAATAATTAAATTCTTCTCTGCATTGAAGCAAATAGTTCTTTATCCTGTTTAAATTATCACTCTCCTAGCTCATCTATTTTTCCTCGACTTCTTTTTTTCATTCGGTTGCTTTCCATCGAACGACTTCCACCTAATCACAAATCTCGCCAGAGCTACGAAAGTAGTCGATCTCATGACATTTCGCCATACAATTTTGTTACGAACGCCCATGATTTATTGAAAACGCTACCATCTTAATGCGAGTTCTCTTTTATATTGATAAATAGTGATATAGGGAGGAAATTTGCATCAAGAAAGAAAAGCCTCACCGCCATTATTTTTATTTCAGCTTTCTGTCTTGTGATTACAACGGGTAACTCTCGACTATTAAATACGTGAACATGAATTAATTCATATTCTCTTCAATGGTGACTTGTAGACTGAAGAAGAAGAAAAGGAGAAAACTAAAAATACGCTCGAAATTTTCAGACATGTATAAGACGATTCATACATATTAGTAACCCAAATTTTCCTGCTCATTTTGTTCTTATTTTTTATTTTGTGCCTTGTACAGCGGTTTTTCTATTTTCTTTCTTGCAGAAAAGTTTTGTTACGAATGTACTAGCGTCGAATTTTTCTACTTATTGGAGCTATGAGTATATTACTCGCAGCTGCATCATGCTGCAAAGCAAATCTAAATGGTTCCAGACCTCATCCAGGAGTTAGAACCGTCATCGCATTTTTTGCTTTGATTTTCGTCGTTGAGTCCGTATCTTGCACATCGCCAGCAGGTCCCGATGGATTTGACGGAGCTCAAGTTTGGAGGGTGTCCTTTAAAGACGCTGCAGGCCAGAAGGCATTTGAAAATATGAAGAAACAGTTATGTGAGTAATGATAAATCGACGATGTAGTTCGGCAATTACATATCTTGAATCGGTGTCTGAAAATCTCCGCCTCTATGTTATTTCTTTAAAGGAAAACAAGTTGACCTTATACCTTGAAGTTTTTGCAGAATTTTCTTCGCACAGAGAAGAAAAATCACGACAATTTTAAAAGATTGCCGTTGAGTAGTTTTCCGTTTAAAAAATAAAGTATGACAGGAAGTCTGCGACGTCGCAAATCGAGTTATGTGATTGCCGACTTACACCGTCGGTATGTAAATGTTGCTTTCCCCCATGATTACCGCATGCAACCATTTCTCGGTTTTTTAAGGATTTTTTTAAAACGTGCGATAGGCGGGATTTTATTTTGATTTTTTTAATTTTTCATTTCATTTTACTTATTTATTTATTTATTTTATTTTTTGCTGATGCGATCTCAAAATTAAGTGTCTAATCTGCTATTAGACGAGAATTTCAGTTGTCTAAACTATACGCACTTCGGCAACCTGACCACCTCTATCGAAGAACTATCCGCGCCTTTTTGATGCTTTTCTAACATAAGAGTTAGGCTCACGAAAGATCTTTAAAAATTTCCTTCCATTGTCGATGTTCACAAGAAACGCAAATCTCTGCAAATTAAACTATATTAGAGCGATCACCTCATTGATGCTGTAAAAAGGCTGCTTGAAACTCAAAATTGTGTGAGAAATACGCGACCATTGTAACTTCTAGATGGGTGAGGAACTGTGTCTCATTCGTCCTCACCTTCCTTAAATGAGTTCTCTAATTCATTGATATTCATTGTCTTCTCCATTTAATTTTTGGCATGGTTAACAATTAGCGCATGGTATCTTTACAGCTGCCCAGGTTTTTCGTCATACGAAATCAAATGTCGACTTCCTCGTTGGAGCGTCAAATTTAAACAAAGCAAAAGAACTTCTTGCGTCTTCAAAATTGGACTACAAAGTCTTGACAGATGACTTCGGCAAAAGTATGAAAGCTGCAGATCCCAAAATGACAACACTTGAGGGAGGGAAGTACCAAAGCAAGCAGAGAAGTGAGTACCGTTCATTGGGGGGTATTCAGTGGTATACATATGGGGGTATTTACCAGATGCCAGAATTTTTTCGTTTTGCGATGAATTTGCAAGTATACAGGAAGTATCCCAACAAGATTAACTTTCAACCGATTATAGTTCATAAAACATAACCCTTCTGAATTAGCTCTGTAATTAGCTCAGGCAGAATGGTTTTTTGATCGTAAAATTATGATGTTCTAAAATTGATTGCAATAAGAAAACTCGTATTACTCCAATTAAAACTGTTCATTGGAAAGATTTTATGTACACCTGGTACACAATAAGAAACCAAAGTAGTGAAGTCCGTTGAGTATCCAACAAATTGTATAGCGTGGGCGAAATTTCGCACCATCAATATCGAAGGATGTGACTGTTTAAATGTTCCAGATCTAATTTTTGAATAGTAAAACATCTGTTGCTCATCAATCTTCAAATCATGTAGAAACAAAGCCTACGGGTCAAAAGGGCAGCATTCTATTATGAATTGCCTTGTGTACGTAACATTTTATTCTGATGAATAAAAAGCGGCCATTGGCAAGCCACAAAAGCTATGGTATGTAGTATATCTGCGCATGACGACATCAAATAAAGATTGTTTGAAAACAAGGTTTTCTGTGATGAAGGAAAAATTGTAAGACATTTTCAACCCAACAACGAGAAACGCGTGTTTTTTTACTATCATCATCCATATGTATTTTATTTCTTGCAGAATACAAACTGACTTTTAAGCACTATCATGGTGTGAAAGATATACACGGTTACATGGATTATCTAGCGGAGAATTACAAAGCATTTGTGAAAGTAGAGTCGATCGGGCAAACATATGAAAAAAGAGAAATGAAATTACTAACCATTACCAACGACCAAAACGCACCATACTTTTGGATAGATGCAGGTAAATACGCAAATAGTGACTTAGAAATTTAATCAAATGCCAAGGCAAATGGTCAAATATTGACGAGAAATAGGTTCCCTCACCTTTCTACCATTAAAATGAAGGGAATGGTTCCAAATATTAAAAAAATTTGGGCTCCTTCATAAATTTTGTTCATGATAACATCTTCGCAACCGTTGCCTATGGTTAGATCAGCTGTATTACAGAGCATTTTTGATATTTTATGCAAATACCTTCTTTAACGTTTGTAAATTAACACAATGGAATTTAGTGAAGAAATGTTAGTGGTTGCGAGTTTTGGGATTATGCATAGTCCTCAAAAACCCTAGATTTCAATACTACCTAGATTTCTGATAGTGTTCATCATTTGGATATCGCTGTAGTAAATGTAACTTACACTGACAGAAATCTAGCCCTGATTACTAGAATTCCTGGGTATCGTATATATATATCATCATAAATCTATGTATAGTAATAAAATTAATTAACTAACTAACTAATTCTATTATTCTTTATCCGCATAGTTCGGCGAGTTTTCTCAGCACACATATGTCCGTCGCAATTATCAGTCGATGAAATTAAGTTTTGATAGTTTAATAATTTTTTATCTGAACTAAAAATCTTCTGTTCCTCTAAAAATCTTTCTATCTTCTGTTCTAAAAACTATCTTGGTAGGTTTTCACGCAAGAGAATGGCTCGCTCCGACCACTGCTCTGTACATAATGCGGGAGCTGGTTGAACGCAAGGCCAATCTGAGCGCTGCACTGAAAAAATTGAATTATTACATCATACCATTGATAAATCTGGATGGCTATGAGTACACCCGCACAGAAAATCGGATTTGGCGAAAGAACCGACGACCCGGTCCCAAGGGTATCAAAGAAAAGTGCTTCGGCGTCGATTTGAACCGCAACTTCGATATGCAATGGGCTTTTGGCGGCGATGAAGGCTCCAGCTCTGACCCCTGTATGGAAGACTACCGAGGGACCAAAGCAGATTCCGAGGCTGAAACCCAGGCGATTATAAAGTTCTTATCGAGCAAAATTACTAAACTTAAGGTGGGCCAACAGTCGTTTCCTACACTACCGTGCTAAGGAGGAACGCCGTAAAAACATTCGAGAGTTGCCAACTTTCCTTCGGTAAAATGTTCATTTTTAAAAAAAGTTATGAATGCTTTTCCTTTAAATTTTCAGGAACTTTAGATAAAATTGCGAACAAAATTATCTGAAAAATTGGAGGAAAAATATTCACAAATTTTCCCGAAAATTCGTGATTTTCCAACGGAAATTTGGCGACGCCTGGAGGTTCATACGGCGTTCTTCCTTAGCAGGGTAGTACAGTACTGTCGTGCTACGGAAGAACGCCGTATGAACATTCGAGAGTTGCCAAATTTCCTTCAATTAAATGTTTGTTTTTGAAGAAAGTTATGAATATTTGTCCTTGAAATTTTCAGGGACTTTAGTTGAAATTGGGAACAAAATTATCTGAAAAATTGGAAGTATAATATTCATACGTTTATTAGGAAATTCGTGTGTTATCAAATGAAATTTGGCAACGCCTGTAGGTCCATACGGCGTTTTTCCTCAGCACGGCAGAGTAAAGTCTCTCCATAATTTGCGAGGATGGAGGCGCAGAGGTTGGTCAAAAATCGTGAATATTCTGTAACCATGCAGTGCGCCAGGAACACAATCATTATCAGAAATAGACTGATCTATTGACTACGTCATTCGATAAAATATCGAACTCTTGGTTCAAACCGAAACGAACTAACATAACCGCATGTGCGAATTCTTCATGAATAACTTGTGTTAATTTATTAAAATTTAGTCATTACACTGAAAAAAGTTTCTCGGATTTTTTACCATGGTCCGTTGGTACCTTTACCATCTCACTTTTTTTTACCAATTATTGGTAATTTTACCAAGACAGACTGGTAAGCTTACCTAAAAACCGGTAGTTTTACTGTTTTTTTCAGGTAAGAATACCACTTTTATTGGTAATCAATTCCCGGTAACTTTCCCAAATATTTCGGTAATTCTACCACGGTCAATAAAAAATATTGGCATTTTTACCAAGGTCCAGTAAAATTACCGAGAAAGTTCAATAGTTTTACCGATATTTCTCGGTAAAATTACCAATTCTATAAATGGTAATTTTACCAAGAAAAAACGGGATCAAATAGAACCCTGAATTCTTGGTAATTTTACCCCATTCTTGGTAATACACCGAGATTTTGTTTTCAGTGTGACCGGTCATAAATAATTTAAGAATCATTAAATACGAGAACTTCCGATCGTAAGAAACACTTGGACGCATTGTACCATCATGGTGCAAGGGCACGAATGAGTGCGAAATGGCGCGAATCGGAAACATTGTTTGTTTACATTTGAACCAAGAATTCGATATTATATCGAATGACGAAGCCACTAAATCAGTCTATACTGTTTATGGAATGAATCGTTTCGACACATATTGCCGCATATTATTGAACTAATAACGCAGTTAGGAACTACCAATGGGTTAGTTCGGCTGTTCACAGAATCGTCTTCTGATGTTTGATTCTTGTGGATTAGCTTGAAATATAAGGATCTGCTAAAACAGCAACTTTTTACGTTCAATATTAACCGAGATACCGCGCTTTGAAAATTCGGTTTATGACATCACCCACCATGGTATATAGTGACACCCTTGGTTTTTTTCCCCACCTTGCTTTCATCAATCAGTTGGACACACGTTTGCACTGGTTACTCAACGTGAAACTCGGATAACAGCAAGGTGGAAGAAACCAATGGTGTCACTTTTGCGTAGGATGACGTTACAAGCCGAATTTTTCAAAGCGCGATATCTCAATTGGACCGCGTTAAACAGAAAGGAACCAAGCCACATCAGCTATTGCCAAATTCAACCGGGGAAAATGATTTTTTTACCAGAGAACGTTTGTGCGGATTCCTTTGAAAATTTTAAGGAATTTGCTTTGTATTATGGAGAAAATTCATAGAAATTTGCACAAAATCCGCACAACCGTTCTCATGTGAAAAATCAAATTGCTCGATTAAATTTGGCAATAGCTGATGTGGCTTGGTTCCTTTCTGTTTGACGCGGTCCAATTGATATTGTATAGTGAAAGATGTTGTTTTGGCGACGTTTAACATTGAAGCAAGTAAAAGATTGGCTCAAAACTGTCAACAGTGATACATCATATTTGTAATCTAGATTTGAAAATACATTTTTAGAAATTTTCAGTTGGTTCAAAAATACTATACGTACTGGCACAATTTCACAAATGAAACAGACCGTTTTTACAATTTAATTTTGACGGGATTTATTGATTACAGGCCATGGTATCATTCCACACGTACAGTCAGCTGATCCTGTATTCTTACGGTTACAAGACAAAAGAGTTTCCTCCGAATGAGAAGGAACTACACCGGGTGGGAATGGTGGCGAAACAGAGCATAATGAAGCTGACAGGCAAGAATTATACCGTGCAGGGTTCTGCTGATTTGTATCCGGCCGCTGGTAAGGATATTTTGTCGTATTCCGATTGGTTTATTCGATTGAGTCATTAGTTAAAAGGCGTATCCTTCACTTCGCTTGAAAATTTTTGTGCGTCACTCTGAAAGATACCATTCAAACCACACGGACTTTTTCGTATGCTTGGATGAGGAAAACTCTTTAAAATAAAACCGCCATCTTTCCCTATTTATTTTAGACCGCAACGAATGAGTGAATTTTCGCGCAGGCTACATGGGTTAAAGGAATGGATCCCTTCCAGTGGGAATAATAGTCTTTTACTAGGGGGCCATGGGTTCTGGACGCTGTGCGGCCCAACCCCCGGAGGGCGCTTTGCGCTTTTTTATACCCGCTACACGGGTAGAAAGCTCAATTTTCAGTTATCTCTTACGTAGTCCAGGGTGGCAAAATTTCATGAAAAATAAAATCTTGAAATTTCAGAAATTCATTAAAGATAATGAAAAATACCTGTTCCTTCTTATGTTTCGAAAACTGTAAAAATTGTAAATTTCTTCTATTTTTGTGTGTTCGCGTGCGGGTTGCATACTCTAGCCCCTGAAAAATATGAAATATTTACAGCCTCGTGAAACTTCATAAAATATTTCACTGAAATTTCCAATCTTTCAGTTCTTTTATACGTTTCATGCCGTCCTATTGTAGTCTTCTTTCTTTGCGGGCGGTCATATTTGATTGTTTTTCTACGAATTATCTTGTGGCTGTTTTACAACTGATCCTTTTATCTTACTTTTGTTTAACAGGTATCTCTATCGACTGGGCTACGAAGAAAGGGGTGCCATTTGTTTATTGCATGGAGTTGAGGGATGATGGAAAGCTTGGGTTCATCCTTCCAGCCTCTGAGATCATTCCCACTGGCAAAGAAGGGTTTGAGCTCATCAAAGCTGTCGCTGATGCAATAGGAAAGCCGCAATCCAGACTTTAATTTCACCAAAATTTTGTCGCCTTAAATTAATTATGCAATGAAGAATGTGATATTTAATCCTTTTCGTGTTTCTCAGCATAAATGAGCTTTCAGCTCTATTCCACCAACGTTGCATTTATTTGAAAGAATCCTATAAGTATACTATTTTTTCAAAGTGCTTAAAGACTTTATAAATATAATTTGCATGATTGGATGATACATTTCCCGTGAACCTGTAAAAAGTAGTGTCTTAGTTTGCAACTTTGCAGATTTCCCGGCATATTTTAAATTTTTTGCGGATGTTAGACCACTGCTACTTCAAACAAATTCGTTCGATGTTTTTTTGACATTCTACGATTTTTATTCAAAATTTCGCACAAAAATGTGCAGTAATATTCCCTCTTCCCCTATGAGGAAAAAACAACAAAAAACAAGAACAGAGATTCTGAAACACGCAATACTTATAACTCAAAAATACATGATAAACTCATCGCCAAATGTGCTCGAACATTGCAAATCCAAACCAAATAAAATTTTTGTAATCCCGATTAACATGTTGATTTTTCTTTCCTTCAATCGGTAGTGCATCAACGTAGAATCCACACTACGATATATTCTTTTTATATTCGTCTGAATTCATGTTTACTTTTAGATGTGAAAGTGCTAGAAGTATTCTATTAACCAAACCCAAAGTTGTCTTCGTGATCGGATTTTACTTTTGCGATCTTGTCTCGTAATTATACGATATTGTAAATTATTGTGACAGAGGCATATTTGCAGAGCACACAAATCGGTTGTTTGCGAAACGAAACACGTGCGGCAAACATTGCAAAATGGTGTTCACATTGACATGTAAAGGAAAATTTGAAAAATAATGAATCAATATAATTAGCCCTATCAAGGTTGCAAATGGAGGGGGGGGGAGTGACCTCGCACAATTTAGTTTTCCGGTAGGATGGAGCATGATAGTGAAAGCGTAAAATCAGAATCTATTTTAACGTTACTCGACAAGTAAAGGAAAATTTGAAAAGTGATGAATCAATAGAAGTTGGCTCCATCAAGTTTGCAAATGTGGGGGAAAATGACCTCGAACAATTTCGGTTTCCGGCAGGATGGTGCATGATAGTGGAAGCGTTGAATCAGAATCTATTTTAACGTTATTCGATTTGGAGTGAAGTAGTTGTGTGGAACACAAGTTTATGCAATTCGATCGAATAAAGTTAAAACCGACGGGAAGGTCTCTCAGTAGGTAAGCCAAACTGTGTTTTCGAACAATTTCTATTTGTTAGCATTAATAAAGCAAATTTTCGTGATCAGTCAGAAAGATCGTGTAAGCCCGATCTGGGGGATTTGTGCGTATTTTCTCGTGGACCTGATCTTAGTTTTCGAAGTTCACCAACCGACGGTCGAAGCTAGACACGACGCCATTAAACCAGCAGAAAAAAACAAACAAAAAAAACCGACGGTTTCTGCAGATCATGATGAACATAGGGATTCAGCAATACTCTTCAAACCACACGAGGCAAATTTTTTTACCAATCGAACACAAATTGTGTACCCGAATTCCCATAAAAATACGCTTGGACGCACACCTCTGACCCCAGGGACATTTTTTCTCATCGATTCAGTACTTTTTGCTAGTCATCCTCGTTCCAAATGAAAACAAAATGTTTCAGTTAGTACGAAGTTTAGTTTCTGGATTGTACAAGATTGCAAACCCTGACATGAAGAAGTCGAGCACCGCATGTTTTGGAATAACACAGCCATTCCAAATAAGTCTTCTACTTCTCTACATTGTCGTATTCGTGCTATCATCCGTTTCAACTTTAAAACTTGGGAGCAGTCCGGGTGGCTATGATGGAGCACAGGTCTGGAGAGTTTCTACGACGGGTCCAGAACAATACGTGGATTTGAAGAAACGACTTTGTGAGTAACCATTCAAAAAAACATCGTTTGATCTAGCTTCACGCAAAAAAAAAAACCAAAAAATTCTTCGACCTTCGCCCGACTAAACACCGTTTGCATACACCCACGCTACTTTCCTTACAGGTCTTTAAAAGCTCTGCAAAATTATAATGAAAAATAATTATACTGCCTCCATGCCAGGGCGTAACCCTTCCTTTCTGTTGATAATTGTTCCTATGCAACTCTTTCCCTTGTAAGTAATTACCGATAAATTTCACGATCAGCAATTTGTGTAGAGCAAGTTTGTCAAACAAGCTTCGTCTGAAGGTATTTAAAAATTGCTCTATTCGCGGCTCATCAATCATGATCTGCATTTAGAGTTGATTTACAAAAATAACCACGATAAAGTGCGTAGTCTCTTATATTTCTTTCGTGGCTTTCTTTCTGCAAGTAAAAATACTTTGATCGCAACATGAGTTCATTGCAGAGATACTTTAAAATTGTTGCCGGCATATTCACAAGCCAATCAAGATTTTCATTCACCGTATGGGAGTTGCAAATTTGAAAAATGACAGTGATGGAATTTTAATGGTTACTGTGAACGCAGAAGAAAAACGGGGTAAAAAACACTAATGTGTGTTCAATTTTCAAGGACAATTCTGTAATTTCTCCTACGATTTTAAATAGATTAAAACGCGTAATATCCAAAATCTAAGCTTAGATTCGAATTCCCCGTGAAAAACTGATGCGATTTCATGTATCATATGTTAGAATAGCGTGAAGGAAAGAGGTTTAATGACGTAAAAAAACACTAATAATGTGTGATTAATTTTCAAGGACAATTCTGTAATTTCTCCTACAATTTTAAATAGATTAAAACGCGTAATATCCAAAATCTAGGCTCAGATTCGGATTCCTCGTGAAAAATTGAAGAGATTTCATGTATCGTATGTTATCATAGCGTTGAGGAAAGAGGTTAAACAACGCGTATGAATTCTGTCATAGTTCAAAGGGAACTACGCCGCCGCGCCGCGCCGGTCGCCCAATATGCAACCGAACGAGGAGGCGCCGGCGCTAACGGTTTGGTCCCGAGGAATTTCTCACGATAAATTCTTATTCTTCCTCCTCCGCTGACCTACTGAGCACTACCCATGTTGCCACGTTGCATTCATATGCTCGAATCAGCATGTCTACGTTACGTCTCTTTCCTTCACGCTATGCTCGGGTATGATACATGAAATTGCATCGATTTTTAACGAGGAATCCGAATCTGACCTTCGATTTTGGGTATCACGCCTTTTGAGCCAGATTTTTGAAATTCAAAAATCAGAAATGACGGACGTAGCCTAAAATGCCATTGCGGCTCCTGTTCGATGGATTTTTCTGAAATTCGATGTCAGGGTATGATAAATGAAATCGCATCGATTTTTAACGAGAAATCCGAATCTGAGCTTCGATTTTGGGTAACATGCGTTTTAAATCAAAATTCAAAAAATTCATAATTCGAAAATCCGAAATGACTGGAGTGGCTTAAAATGCTATCTCGGCTCCTGTTCGATGAATTTTTCTGAAATTCGGTGTCAGAAGGTACTTTTCGACGGGAAACTCGAATTTTTAGTCCATTTTTTAAAATTCTCAAATCCAAGATGGCGGACGTGGGCTAAAATGCTATCTCGGTTTCTGTTTGTTCGAGTATTGTGAAACGCGGCAATATATGGTATTTTTCAACGGGAAACTCGAATTGTTAGTCAATTTTTTAAAATTCTCAACTCTAAGATGTTGGATGTGGCCTAAAATTCTATCTCGGTTTCTGCTCGTTATAGAGATTTGTGAACCGCGGGAACAGGGGTACGTTTCGACAGGAAACTCGAATTTTTTAGTCGATTTTTGAAAATTCTCAAATCCAAGATGGCGGACGTAGCCTAAAATGCTATGTCGGCTCCTGTTCGATGGATTTTTCTGAAACTCGGTGTCTGAGGGTATTTTTTGATGGGAAACTTGAATTTTTAGTCAATTTTTGAATATTTACAATTCCAAGATGGCGGACGTGGCCTAATATGCTATCTCAGTTTCTGTTCGTTCGAGTTCGGTGAAACTCGGTATCACGGGTTATTTTTCGACGGAATACTCAAATTTCTAGTCAAATTTCCAAAATTCGTAAACCCAAGATGGCGGCCGTGGCCTAAAATGCTATCTCGGCTTCTGCCGGTTTTTGCGAAACTTAGAAAAAGGGGAAATCATTCCAGTCAAATCTTCAAAATTTGAAAATGAGGATGGCTAGAAACCAGATCATTGTATGGCGGGTTATGAAAAACTATTTTTCGCAGGAACAAAGTAACCCGCTTCTTCAAAAATAGCAACTTCACACTCATAAGTATAGTGAAGAAATTTTAAGCCAGGATATTTTTTAACTGACAGTAGGTTTTCCATGTAAACTTTCGATGAGGCGCTGGCAAATTATATTCTATTTGTGGCAGGCCCGCCACAAGGGGGGGGGGGGTACTGGGTCCTTGGTACCGGGGTCCGGGACGCAGGTGACAAACCACTACGAATTCATGTGTAACCCTTGTCTCGTAGGGAAAAGTGAAAAAATTACCCTAAAAATTCCGCAAAAGGTGAATAAAGTTTCAAAAATACGCTAGGGCACTATAAAATTTTTCTTACGTTTTTTAGAGATTTCTTTCTATTTTCAAGATTTTGAGTATATGTAGAATGATATTTTTAGTAACTGCGTTTCAATTTCTTCCGTTATCGAATGCTAAGAGCCTCCTGTCTGGGCATCCTCGACTTCAATGGCTCAACTTCCTTGCCGTAGACGTACGAAAGGGGAGTCCAGGGGGGCCCGGCTATCCCCCTAGAATTGAAAAGTATCATCTGCCTCCCAAAAAAAAAAAAAAATTACAGATGTTTTGAATGCAACAATTTGAAAGTATTTGGTGCTGAAAGTTAAAAAAAGGCGTAATTATTCTGCAGAAATTGATGGAAAATCTCCATCATAAGAACTTCAAAATGCGTCCAAATAGATTTAAAATTTCAAAAATTTCCCGGGGAAGGCCCCCCGGACTCCCCTCTGTGCTAGGGGCCCGGGCCAGAAAACTGGTACCACGGCCCGAGATGGGATGTGGTGGGCCTGGTTACTGAGTAATGAAATAGCAATTTCATGATTGAGATTTTAAGAAAAATAAACCTTTGAAAGGTTCATATTTTACGTAGGAGCGGGGCAAATAGATAATAAAAAGATAACGGAATAAAGGCATCAACAAAATATCTGTACCAGCTATACAGGTCCAAACACCCCTCTTCAAACGAGTCATTGTATTTCCGATTGCTCCGTAGGTCCACCTATCTTCTATATAAGTATAAAAATATGTGAAGGAGCTCACTTTATCATGCATGCACGCCTAAAATTAATCTAAAAATCTCTTAAGTTCTATAAGTAATCTTAAATTAACTGCTCATAAAGTTACATGCGGATAAATAGTCATAAAAGGTCATTTTATAAATTAAATTTCATAAATTAAAATGTTAAAATGCTGGAAAAATCATAGCTTTATTCAGGAGAACGAGAATAATCTTGGTGCACTATTTTTTTACAGAGAATTTTGACATTTTTGCAATGCTAGACTACGCAATGCAATGTATCCTCATTAATTCTTTTGGAATCTTTACAGCTGCTGAAGTTATTCATAGATCTGGGTTCACTGTGGACTTCATGGTTGGAGCTTCACAGGTGGAACAAGCAAAACAGTTTCTTGCATCGTCCAAATTGAAGTATACAGTACTGGCAGACGATGTTGGGACGAAAATGAAAGCTGCACAATCCCCAGCGGTAGGTCCGCCTCCTGGTCCTCTACAAGGGGTCTCGAAATTAATGCAAAGCCTGAAAGGTAGGTTATTTTTATTTTTATAAATTGACTTGCACTATCATTATCTTTGAAGCTAGATCGGATACTATCTGTATGAAAACACATATTGGATGTGCCACTTAAAAATCAAAGTAAAAATTAAGAAACAAACTCGCATTGTATCAAATGGATTGTGAGTGTTGCTCTGATGTAGTATCAACTTAAAAAGTGTTATTTCTTGCCAAGGATAAAAAATTCTCTCAGGGCTTATCTGAATCTGGAAATTCAATCCTATAACAAACTGTAATATTTTCCTTATTCCTTATATTCCTTATATACAGACTTGACCAGTCTCTTTACATTTTCCCCTGGGAAGCTTTACAGGTCTTCTCACAATTTCCTCTGAAATAATGTACTGAGGACATAATTATTCTGATTTAGATTCTCGAAATTATTTTACCACAAGGCCTTCAGATTTCAAGTTTTCATTCGAAAAGTATCATCCCTTGAAGGAAATTTACGGGTTTCTGGATCACCTTAGCAAGAAGTACAGCAGTTTCGTTTCGACGGAAGTGATCGGGAAGTCATTCGAAAGGCGAGACATAAAACTACTCAAAATTTCATGCGGAGTTCCTGGTGCTCCATGGTTTTGGATAGATGCAGGTACTAAATATCTTATGTTCACTGAATAAATGATAATTCGTTGTTCACTGGCTTTCGATCACTTTGACAGGCCACGATTGCAAAACTTTGTGGAACAAGAGCAGCTGATGGATGAAAGTTTGTTCTGAGGGCGTGAAATTGTCTAAAATTCGCCCTCAACGGATGAGAGACTGTTGTCTTCTACTAGTTGTCAGACGAACATTAGGTACTTTAGCAGAAACAATATAATTTGATCACACATTTGGAAAAAAATTCCGAAAATTAAAAAGGAAAAAACTTTAATCAAACATTTATGGATCTAATGCACATACCATACTATATAAATACAAATTGAACAAGGTTGAATGAGGAATCATACGTTCGTTGCTTCTGCAAAACTATTTTATAAGTACAAATTTGTTAATTGATTAACGGATTCAAACCAAAAGGAACTGTATCCATCCTGACATGAACCCTTAGATCCATAAGAATATGCATACACGACAGTGGGCTGATTTTTGAAATTGATAGACAATTCTATAAAATATAAAAGTTAAGAAAACTCACCAGTCAGAGAAATTTACAAATCCTACGCGTTTCGACCCGTAAGGTCATCATCAGGGACGCGACTCCCTGTCCGAGGAGTCGCGTATTTTAACCTTTGTCCTAGTCTGGTACTTTTTTAAAACATTTGATGAGACAATTCTATAGACTAAGAAGTCATCGTCAAGAAGACGTTAATATCTTAAATAGGGGTTGATTTCAGTAATGGAGTTGTTGCATGTGTGAGGAATTTGCGATTTGACTGTTGATATATATGTAAAGGTTCGCGAGAAACACGATGGTCCCACTGGTTTTCTCTGAAATCAACTCCCAAGCTTTAAAAAGCTCTCAAGTTGAGGCCAAAATGGAGGGGATATCCCACGCTATCCTGAGAGTCCACCCCTCTACATCAAGACAAACTCTCCATGCAAAGATAGGGAGCAAATACATAAGCAGGGTTGCCGTGTTTTCAGTTTTGGAGTCCCCAAAGAAAGTGGCAGCCCCGTCAATGTATTTGCCTCCTATCATTGCACGGAGAGGTTGTCTTGATGTAGAGGTGGACTCTTAGGATAGCGTGGGATATCCCCTCCATTTTGGCCTCAACTTGAGAGCTTTTTTTCAGCTTGGGAGATGATTTCAGAGAAAACCAGTGGCGCCATCGTGTGTCTCGCCAACTTTTTCATAAGAATCAACAGTCAAATCGCAAATCCCTCACACATGCAACATCTCCATTGTCGATGCAAGAATCGTGTTTTACGTGAAACTTTTATTCAGAAACATGTACCAGAATGCATAAATTCGTACTTTGTCTAGTGGTCCTATTGAAATTCTGCAGGGATTCACGCCCGAGAATGGGTCGCTCCTTCCACCGCGCTGTACATCATTCGAGAACTAGTGTGACCGAAGCGCAGGGCCAAACTACCGGAGGCGATGAAAAAAATCAACTTCTTCGTCCTGCCGGTGTTGAATCCGGACGGCTACGAGTTCAGTTGGTCGAAGGACAGAATGTGGCGAAAAAATCGGAGACCGGGGCCCGGCAACAGAAAGGATTGCCCCGGCGTTGACTTGAATCGAAATTTCGACATGGAATGGGGCTTCGGCGGTGAGGAGGGCTCCAGCGGGGACCCGTGTGAGGAAAGCTATCGTGGAACCGCCGCCGATTCCGAACCCGAAACCAAAGTTTTCATTGACTACGTCAAAAGGAATCTTCCTAAAATTAAGGTGCGAGAAGTTATTATCTGAGCAGTGTTCGAAACTCACCTTTGAGTTTTAGGAGCCATGTGGCGCATCAAGCCCGATTTTTAGGCGCCATTGAAGCTTTTTTAGGGGCCAAATTGACTTTTTGCCTATTTATTACGGCGCATTTAGTGAAAAGCTAGACGCGAGATGTTTTCGTAGCAGAACTTGTAAGTAGCTGTAACTTGGGGAGGACAAAAGCACTAAGAATGAAATCGTGAAGTATAAAAATAGAGTTCTTTTTCAATTCAAATAGATTTGTTTTCTTTCTTTATGTGACTTCTTATAAAAATCCAGATTTTTCTGGGGCAATTTTGAGGGGCCACGTCGGCGCAGAGCCTTCATTTTTTGGGCGCCATGGCCGATTTTTTAGGTGCATTTGGCGCGTTGGCGCCTGTGAGTTTCGAACACTGGGCATGACGTGCTTTGCGATACATCGATTGATCTGCCATCTAAACCTATGGACCGTATTCGATACATCAAACACGTGAGGTTGTATCGATACCGACTGGTTAAACATGTAAGCATATCCTCAAAAGTCAATTGAGTAATCTGAGGAACGTGTGTCTTCTGGTAGGTTTCTAATTCTTATGAGTATGAAAAAGTAATGAAAAGTGAAATTGCTAGGAATTTTCTCATTTTCAGCTTTTCCTACTTAAATCCTAAAATTTTTGTTTAAGCTTATGTTCTAGTGTTTTGAATCGAACGATGCATCGAACCACTATCGAATACGATCTGTGGGAAACGATCGATAGACAGAGTGTTCGCAACGAACATCTTAAAAATAAAGTCTTTCCCATAGCTCCAAATGAAGAAATATTGATCAATCATCGATCAATCGATTATCGATTGATCAATCATTCCTCGCCACAGATGCACGAATAAATGGACCGCGTTTAGCGGAAGGAATCAAGCTACATCAGATATTTTTACAACAAAGCGTTCGTGCGGATTCCTCTAAAAAATTTAAGGAATTTGCTTTCGAAAATGCAGAAAATTCACTGAAATTTACACAAAAATCCGCACAACCGTTTTCATGTGAAGATAAAACTGCCCAATTAAAGACAGTAGCTGATGCGGTTTCTCTCGGCTTGGTTCCTTTCCGCTTCACGCGGTCCGAGTGCGGATGTTAATGTTTGTTAGACTCTTAACGGTGTCGTCGCACAAGTTTTTTTTTTTTTTTATAAAACGGATTTTTGGAATGTATGGAAAAACAAGCAGGAAGCTCCAACGCATTGGCGTCGGAGAGCGGCTCTGGGGGCAGTAGTTGTAGTCAAGAATGAGGGCCTAGACACATTTTGTCATTGATGTACAATCCGACAACTGTCGATTCATGTTTTGTAACTTAGCAGATTTACGTAGCCGGTGTATAAATGTGTATTGTGCTTTGATATGGCGAATACATGGTATTATCACTTGTTGTATACTTTTAATTTTGAAAGCTCTTTGGAGGTCCGCTTCCTAAAAAATCTCTGGTTGATAAGTCGTTTAGCGAGGCTGCAAAAAATTTGCATTTTTATATCTGAAAGTGTAGGTATTGGTTTTTTGTATAATTGTTTTTTTGGATTGCTGGAAAAGTAACGCATACTTCTATAATTTAGGACTGAGTCAGGGAAATATAAGGTTCGTTAAATAGTAAATATTCCTAGTACCGTGTGACACTATTGTTAACGAAAAGTTTTTGCAACTTGTCAAAGAGGTTGTTGAATGATCTTCGAATAACTTTTGATGAGCTAGAGGTAATGGTTCTATCTGCAGCTCGTGGACTTCTGTACGATATTGTCCAGAATCATCTAAATTTTCAAAAAGTGTCCGCTTGTTCGATACCCAATTTGCTCATTCATGCATAAAAGGAGAAGCGCATGAAAGCTTTAGCAGACATTTTGGAGATGAATCAAGAATTAGATGAAGAATTTATGACTTAAATCACGGCACCTTAATCACGGGATGACCTTAATTACGGCAACTATTTATTGTCCATGAGATGCAGATGGTTCCATTTCCCTAGCTCATCAAAAGGTATTCGAAGATCAATTTCATAAATAATCAGCCCATGAGTGGGTCCAGAATGAGGGAGAAGGAAAAGTTGAAATAATTTTACTGGAAGGAGGGATAAATGAGGTACTCACCGAATTTATTCGTACAGAACATTCAAAAATTCCGTGAAAAAACAGCTCACAAATAAAAGCAAATTGCCATAGAAACTTCTTCACGAAATCACACACACAACGAAGAACGAGGCGCTACAGACGAGTCCGTCCAGGACAAGTTAAAAAATTCCCATGAGCCGAGTGTCGTAGGTTAAGGGCCCGTTCGCCAAAACTAATCGGAACTGTATGAATGAATTGCTCCTTTTAAAAATCAAAACAATATCGAATTGCGATATATTACACAGTTAAGATAGGGCTATGTCCTGTCGTAAGCGGCGACATACAGTCGATATCATTTCAATAATCGCCCCAATGGCCACGATAGTTGTTTAGACGTTTACGGTTTCCCTGGTAACCTTTGTTTGCTATCAGCTGATATCAAGTAATATGACTAGGAAGCTCCAACCCAGTAGTTAAAGCTTCCTTAACCGCGAAAACTTTAAAATTCAAATTTTCAAATTTTGAACGTAAAGTACATTTTTTCCATCACGAGATAAAAGCACAAACAAGTTTTGAATTGTTGACTGTATCACCATGATTCCAAAAATACAATACACAACATAGCATTGACTAACAATAAAACAGTATGCAATAAAATAAAGTCATGACAAGGAACATAGCCGAAAATGGCGCCGATTCCCATCAACCAACGCGCGGTCTCTACAATGTAACATGCTGCATTGATACTCCCCAGCTGGGACCGTCCGGAATAGCAGCTCTAGTGCAAGCACCAGAGCCGCTAATAAAATATATATACTTGTAAAAAAATAACGTAGGCTTGATTGGTTTCCTCCTGCGAGGAGACGAAAGGGACGCTCAGTAAAAGGGGGCAACAGGGGGTTTTAGAGGAAACAGTGGTGTGGCGTGCTTTGCGATATATCGATTGATCGACCGTTTAAACCTATGGAAAGGTATCGATAGGCAGGGTGTTCGCAGCGAACACCTTAATAATCGATTATTTACCACAGCTTCAAATGAGGAAATATCGATAGATCGCAAAGCCACGCCACTGAGAGGAAATGACGGAGTACTTGGGAGTAGGAGATTTTAACAGCTAGGTGTCGCAGAGCACCAGAGAGCTTTGTGAAAGTGGCTTTTACGTACCTATGTGTGCACAAAGAGAGGGTACCTGCATTTTTCGACTTTTCAATTGATCAAATTTTAGTTCAGGACAAAACTTTCAAAGTCACCAGTTTATGAAATCATTCCATGGAGTTTATTTTAATTTCAGGGCTTCGTAACCTTCCACTCGTACAGTCAATTGATCATGTATTCGTACAGTTATACAAACAAACTGCCCCGTAATTACAAGAAGATACATGAACTCGGAGAACGAGCGGCCCGAAATGTTCGGAGGGTCACCGGAGCAAATTATACGGTTCAAGCCTCTGCGGTGATGTACCCTGCTGCTGGTAAGCAATTTCTTAGCTTCAAGACCTGATCAGAATTTAAAGTTTCCAAGAAAAGCTACTCGAACGGAAAAGCGTCACTGTTAAGGGTAAAGATATTAAGTACCACGACGCATGTTCGTTCCCTTACATAAATTTCTTGCAATTACGTTGAAAATATCAAAAATTTCCAAAGTCACCAAATGAAGGATCAAATCGTCACCTTCCGGCCAGAGTATCACAAACGCCATGCGACTTTCGAAATTTCCGCCGCCATTTTATTTTTAAAAGAAATTGTTTAACGAAGCTGTCCAAAATTTTCACAGAATTTTTCTTTGTGCTATCGATAAAATTCAGTGAAATGTTCGAACAGATTCAGCCAAAAATTTCTCTGTAACAAATTAAATCGGCGGTGGACATTTTGAAACGTCACATTAAGCATTTCCTTTATTCTTCAATTCTCCTCGATGCCCAAAAACCAGAGTCTCTTTGTATCATAATTGGCCAAACTAATTTCAATGCTCATTCTAATGAATTGCTTTCCCTAGCGTGTTCAATGTTTGTTATCAGAATTTTTGAAATTTTGTCAATTAGCGTAAGAGGGGCGTGTTTGTGGAATATAACATTCGTAAGTCGACGGACGATATATTTGCTTTTATGACCGATTTGACATGAGTAGATGTTGATTCTGTTGCCAGCACGGAACTTTATGTTAACGATCAATGCAAAATGTAATTTCTTATTTATCAGTTTATTTTGGTATTTTTGAACACGTCCATCAATTTTTGCCAGAAATTAAGATGAGAAAACATATCCGCAATTCTAGCCTTGTTTAGTCCAGTGGGCCGTTCCAAGGAACGTTGCATGAACCTTCGCTCGCCATATTTTAAATGGTATGTGCACGTGTATAAAACACAGAGTTTCCTAGGAGAGTACATTTGAACCCGAAGTTCTCGGGAATGTGAAGAGCTGGAAGCAGGAACGGGAATGCTTATACAGGAAAGTTCCAGGAAAAGCTCTCCGTCGTACGTCAAATTATAAATGTACAGAGTTTACCCGTGTATTTGTGTGTGTTTTACCACCAAAGTATCCCGGGAAACGTTCTCAGCTAGTCGCTCGTCAAATACCATGTATGTACTGTCGGCACATACGTTGCCAAAATGGGAGCTTTCCCCCTCTGAACTTTTCACCGGAGGAATTGACCGACGATTAAAGAGCATGTCCATTGTTAAAAATAAGGACTTTAATAATGAGCCTGAACCCCATCACTAATACCACCTCATGAGACGGAAAAAAAGGTTTTTGAAAAATTGATTACTGACAATAAAGATATAGTCTTGAACTACTTTGGGAAACTTACAGGAAACGATCTTAAAATGGAAGAATTAATTTAATCAGCGGTCCTAAAATTCAGTCCTATATCTAAAAAAATTAGCGAAACACAAATTTTAAACTGAATTAGCGAGATTGTTGGGGGAAAATGTAGAACAGCAGAGCATCAAATTTTTCAGGAAAACAATTACTTTGAGATCCTCGCCAGGAAAGGTAGTGATTTACATGAGAATAAAATCCCCGGCTCTAGAAAAAATGGTCGAGCAAAGAGAGTTCTACATATCGACGGTGAAAGTCGGCAATCACATAACTCGGTTTGCGACGTCGCAGACTTCCTGTCATACTTGATTTTTTAAACGAAAAACTACTCAACGGTAATTCTTTAAAACTTCCGTGATTTTTCTTCTATGTGCGAGGAAAATTTTGCAAAAACTTCAAGGAATCATGTCCATTTGTTCTCCTTCAAAAAAATAACATAGTTGCGGAGATTTTCAGACACCGCAAACGAGTTATGTGATTGCCGACTTGCACCGTCGATATGTATTTGGGTAGAATATGCTCAGCTCTACTCATGATGCCCGCCCTTTTTATATTTAGTTAAATATTGAAAAAAAGGTAATGAGCTTTAACGACAAATTTTGGACCCCAAAAAAATGATTATAATGGAATTGTTGAGCAGCTTCGGGGCCCGCGAAACGCTTGGCCGCGGATGCCGCGGAAGGCGGGCGTGTTTATTTAGAACAACCTCAGCTATAACCGTCGAAAAAAACCCTATAAAACTATATATATTTTGAAACAACTGTTTAAAATGCCCATACATATCATTGAACATTTGAAATAGACGACATAAAAGGAGGAACAATTAATGATTAAGTCGTTTACTGATGATTTGAAAGTCGATCTGTCCTCATTCTGGAGGTAAGCATTGCATAAAACCCATTAAACTATGGATAATTTAAATCCGCAGACTCCAAAGATTGTGCTTTCGGAAAGTTTGCAGACTTTTATGGGCGTCGAAAGGAGAATTAATTGAAAGAAAGAGGGTCTGTCAATTCTTCACAACACCAATCAATTCAATTTCTTCTTTTGTTATGAATTTGAAAACAACTCGTGGAACCGCGCGATGGATGGTGAGCGTCGACTCTGGAAATCATATTTTATGTTTAGTAATTTGACTTCGAAAATACTAAAGTACACTTTCCGATTGAATTAAACATTTTTTGTTGCTGTTTTTACGGTTCATTTAATAACCAGAAATATTTTGATGTAAATTTCGTTCTATTCTCATTATTCTCTAGGAGTGTCGGACGATTGGGCTTTTCAGCAGAGGATCCCATACGTGTACTGCGTGGAGCTCAGGGATACTGGGGATAATGGGTTCATCCTCCCCCCTTCTGAGATCGTCCCAACCGGGCAAGATGGACTCGAGATTATCAAAACCATAGCTGAGGAAGTAGTTAAATTACCGCGCTAGAGGCGTAGAAACAAGTTCTGTTACTACCAAATGATGTTTAAAAAGAAACGTACTAAAAATTACTCGAAAAATCCTTAGATACAAACGAGCGTAAAATTATAGTATAAAATCGAAACTGGACCAAAAACTGTATTAGACCTGTACAATTTTTCATCTTTTAGTTGTAATAAGTAGATTTTAATAAAGCCTTTTGGAACGTATGTATATCTGGAGTTTGCGTGTTTCAAGTACCGAAATGCAATGGAAATGTACTAAAGTGCTCAATTTTCTACCCTGTTCAGTGGCCCATTAGTAAAGAACCAAGATATTTCGCAACCTTGACTTGATTTTCTTTTTTTCTCAAGAGAAGTTACAGCTTAAAACGTTCTAAGGTTTCAAATAAGATTGCCATTCTGATACTAGCCACTCATTTGAAATGATTTCCGTTGCTCCGTTTGGCAAATCTGCCCGGGTCACTTTCACGGTGTAAGTTACAAGTTTACGAGTTGCAAGTTCACGATTAAAAGTTGCGCTAACTTGGTCAGATAGCAAAGTTTCGTCTGGACACAAGTTTTTAAACGCTGCCGGGTCCGCCTTCCAAGATTCGGCACGGAGTAGGAAGTTGTCGGCACCTCATAAAGCTTGTCTCCCAGTATACTGCTTCACAAGTTTCCGACATATGCTGTTGACCACAGCAAGTGCAACTTGCAATCTTTATCATCGCGTGGCCCACAACTCGGCGCTCAAGGGAAGAGTTCGTTAGTGGGACTGTACATCCAAATCATCCAATACAAAATCCTCACTCTTGAGGGGAATCGACAATTGAAATTTATGAACATTTTTTTTTCTTTTTCTTTTTTGAATTACTAATTATAGTTTCAACTCTTACTTCAGATACACCTCGAAGCAAGTATCAACCAACAGTTCCCAAAAGATACATACATACATTCGAGTCGCTTTACAGCGCGCCCGGGCGCTCTGCGACACCTAATCGCCATCCTTGCCTATCGATCCAGAGGTCATCTGGTAAATGGCAACTTGTGATTTCATCTTGAATGCCACCTATCCACGATTTTGCTGGACGTCCCATACGTCTTCTCCCAGGAGATGAGATTCCCAAAAGATATCAGTCGGAAAACCTAAATTTCAAGCTGTTAGTATACGAACGCGGAGTATGACAACGGAGGCTTATGCTCAACCGCATAGAACGTTAAAGTCGAGCAACTGGATATACATAGGGTGTCCCAAAAGTACTGCCCCTTTTTCCGCAGAGGGCAAAAGAATGCAGATATCAAAATGCAGTTTGTGTGGGGTTATAGTCCTAGTAATTACCTATAAAATAAGACCAAGTTGAGCTCTGTAGCTTAAAATTTGACCGAGATACAGCATTTTGAAAATGACGTGTCAAGGTGCCGCCTACAGGATTTTCAACATTTTTTACGAAAGAAAAAACCAAGTTTAAGGATGAAACGGTTTTAAAAAGAAGAAGAAGCGGCCAGAAACATATGGCAACACTGTGTTTTAGGCGGCATTTGGCAACGTGTAAGCGCCCCTATGCAGACCAACGACAGAATTGAAAGTGTCCGCTAGTGCCATCCAAGTTGGTCAAGCTTTCCCGGCACGTCAATCTGAGTTCATCCCTCTGTCGTTTTGGAAGTTTCTTTCGCGATGAGTACCGAATTAAGAAAAGAACAACACCACGTTATTCGTTATTGTTTTCGTCGAGGTTTGTCAGTAAAAAACACTTTTAATGAAATGAAAGGCGTGTATAAAGACGACTGTTTGGACAGAAGTAGCATTGGTCGTTGGTTTAAATCTTTTTCTGGCGGCCGCGAATCGGCGGAAAGTCCCGCGAAACCGAGCCGACCGTCTACCTCCACCACAGACGAATTAATCGGTACCGTTGCTGCTGTTGTTCGAGGAGACCGTCATTTATCCTTGCGTAAGTTTCAGGTGTTGCTTGACATCTCAAAAAGTTCATTGCACCGGATCTTAAAGGACCACCTGCAGATGCGTCGTGTCTGTTCGTCCTAGGGTTCGTCCGTAAAAAATGTTGAAAATCTCGTAGGCGGCACCTTGACACGTCATTTTCAAAATGCTGTATCTCGGTCAAATTTTAAGCTACAGAGCTCAACTTGGTCTTGTTTTATAGATAATTACTAGGACTATAACCTCACACAAACCGCATTTTGATATCTGCATTCTTTCGCCCTCTGCGGAAAAAGGGGCAGTACTTTTGGGACACCCTATGTACATATATTTTCCCCATTCTTTAATATTATCATGCATGCAAGATAAAAAGTTCAAATAGTCGTCAAGAAATGGATTTCGTTTCCTAAATGGAAGTTATTGTACGAGTGGGACACTGGGACACTATGCTATCCTGGCTGCTTTTCCCCCTTATTTTTCTTCTTTAAAATTGGACAGATATTGAAAAATATGTATAAAAATATGATACAAATACGCCAGAATGCACGTATCTCAGTGGAGAATGACAGATAGTGGAGGCAAAACATATTGGCTTGTCATCTTCCCCCATTTGGTTATGTAGAAATAGAAACACGTTTTAAAACAACGCTGTCAGCTTAACTATCACAGAGCATCCGAATGAGAGGGAAGATAAATTTCCCGTAAAAATTCACGAAATTATATTCAAAAGGTTCTCCGTCACTCCATCCCCCTTCGTCACTAACTTGCTCCGATAGAATCGTCGTTTGGTCATTTTTATTTCTCTAGGCTTCAATTTTTTACGATCTCATTTTTTTAACAAAACGATGGATAGTGGGATGAAGAAGGCAACTCGAGAAAACACTTTTCTCACGTGGTCAGCAGTACGTCATTGCATTGTCAAGGATATCGCTTGTTGGCACTAAAAGGAGTGAAATAGTTGTTCATGTGGGAAAGCGAGAGAACTAAAACTGAATGGAAGACCGAAAGAGAGATTCACACTGAAAATAATTTTGAGGCACAAGATTTTACGAAATGAAGTCCCACGAGAAATGCCAGAGGGGTGAGAATGGCATACGTGCCGGACACGGGTCATGATAGAAGGACCTCGAGAAAGATGCAGTTCACGCATATATAGACTTGATGACGTCACGGATGATGAGACAATAAGTCTACGCGTGATTGGCTGGCTACTATCAACGTAGCTATCAGATGCAAGTCTGGTCATTAGATGAATGGCTGATAAAGCTGAAAACTGAAGAGCAAGTTGACGAGTGAACAAATCAAGCCGTCACTAATGGCCGGAGGAAAAGTGTAAGGGACAAAATAAAATGAAAGTCACGGGACTTGCAAGGCCCGTGACCCAATGCTTGTAAACCAGTAAAAACCCCCAATTCGAGAAATATCAACACAATAGTTTGGTTATTACGTGGAGTAAAACACAAAATACCCCTAGCCTTCGGTTGGCAATGGAGATGTTGCATGTGTGAGAAATTTGCGATTTGACCTTCGATTATTATGTAAAAGTTCGCGAAAAACACAATGGTGCCACTGTTTTTCTCTGAAATCAACTCCCAAGCTCAAAAAAAGCTTTTAAGTTGAGGCCAAAATGGAGGGGATATCCCACGCTATCCTGAGAGACCACCTCTACATCAAAACAAACTCTCCATGCAAAGGTAGGGAGCAAATCGATGGTCAAATCGCAAATTCCTCACACATGCAACATCTTTATTTCAAGAGAAAATGCTAGCTAGTTTCCTTGAAGAAATTTAATAAAACGCGAGTGATGAATACCAGCCTCACAATCGGAGAAATGCATATTCCCAGTCTCTTCATTGTTTTCTGCGCTACATTCACTGCAATTTGTACCAAAATCAACACAAATTCTGTGTTGGTTGGTGTTTCTCTTCCTATATTGATCAAAAGTAACACAAAGGTACACATATTTTTATCGGTGCAGACCATGTGCGATTACTGATTGTTCTCGTATTTCTGAGCTCAGTGAATGTTAAATGTTAAAGACTCTAATAAAGAGGGAGAGAATACTTCAATCATTCAATGAAGTCATTTCGAGGTAATGCAGGGGGGAGAGTCAAACTGTGCAGTCCAATCACTGCACAGTTTTATTTGATACTTTAATCACGCATTCAAGAACGGTAGCAAATCTTCCTTTAAATTTATTTCTGAATTCCACCCGTAATTCAACGAAAATTCAAAAATATTTGATGTAAAAGCTGAATCCTTTAAAGAAAGAGGAAATGTGTGGTCACATGCAAGGGTTGCCAATTTTCCTTCGATAAAATGTTCATTTTTGAGGAAACTTATGAATATTTTCCCTTGAGATTTTCAGGAACTTTTGGTGAAATTGCGAGCAAAATTATCTGAAAAATTGGGAGGAAAATATTCATAAGTTTACTTAGAAATCCGTGTTTTATCAAAGGAAATTTGGCAACGCCTGGAGGTTCATACGGCGTTTTTCCTTAGCACGGCAGTACAGGGTGGCACTCTCAACGTGGGGAGGCGCCCCGACGCGCTGGTGCAATAAATTCACGGGGTCCCCGATGCTCTGCGCCGCCGGTGGATTGCTACGTTTTAGCATAAATTTATGGCCTACATTTCAGGAGATCACGCGTCATTTAAGGCGATGATGACGTTGTCGCTTTGTAAACAACCTTGTTTATTTTAATCGCAAGCTACATTTTACAACGTGGCGATTTTGCAACGATGGGCGTCGAGAAGTGTTGGCTCGCAGAAGTACCGTTTTTAAACACCTACCTGAGCCTCCCTCTGGGATCACTGCCTCACCCTGCATCTATTTCCTGAGTCACCGCTGAAAAAAAAGAGAGGGAAAAGTGCACGGGGAAATGGTGAAATTGCTCCCGGAGGGACGCGAAATTAAAGATGTATAGTAGCGTTGCACTTCGTTCGTTAAATGTTGACTTTTTACGAAGAGACAAAGTGTTTTAATTGAAATTTTCGTAGAGATAGAAATTTAATTAAAAATGGTGTTGATTAAAATTAAGTGTGTAGGTCTTCGAGGGCCGGATTAAGGGGGTGGCCACATGGGCCGGGGCCCATGGCGGCAAATCTAGGGGGCGGCAAATTTTGCAATTTTTTTAAATGTACTGTGAAAAAAAAACACATTGGATCTAGAGTCCAGACTGTTGAAAACATTGACAAGAAAAAGGACTCTTGATTCGATCAGATTTAAGCTTAAATCAAAAGGAAATCCGCTCAAATTAAGAGGCTTGGTCCTTGATTTATTAAGCTTAAATCTG